GTCGCTGCCAGAGTAGCAGCCTCAACAACCGGCAGTCGCGAATCAGCCAAACGACACTGCTTTTCATCGCCGGCGACAATGTCGTATGCACGTCCGAGTGTGGGAAGGGGATCAACAGGAAGAATTTGAGAATGGACTGTCTTGTAATTCTCATTAAGCCCCGATCCAGGCATCCCGTCTGACCCAGCCTAGACATGGATGCCCGGTCAATTAAATCATGCCATCGCGCAGCGTCCCGTTGCCCGGATGCGGGCGATGTGTGTACAAAACCGGGAGCGCCCCAATAATCGCACCCCGTCCAACCTAACCCTGACATGGGTGGCCGGTCGATCAAACCGTTGCAGTGCGCCGCGTCTCGTCGTCCAGAAGCGAGCAACGTGGGTACAAAACAGGGAGCGTGCAAATAATGGCACCTTGTCCGTCCTAACCCAGACATGGGCGGCCGGTCAGCAAAACCGCGGTATCGCGCCGCGTCCCGTCGCCCGAATGGGGGCGACGCGAGTACAAAACCGGGAGCGACCCAATAATGGCTCCCTATCCGACCCAACCAAGACATGGGCGGCCGGTCAGCAAAACCCACGGCACCCCGCCGCGTCCTGCTGTTTGATGCAAATAGTGCAATCCCTACGACTCGAGTGCAATCAACCGAAAGCGTCCCGAGTAGGGAAGGAGTTCAAAAAAAAAGGAGAGTAACACTTCAGATCGTGGTACTGACGCGGCGTCATATACTTTCTTCAGACTGTCTTGGACAGCTTCCGGATAGGATCGCGAAAGCTTAGCCTCAGCACAAGTTGGGATAAACTGTCGTTTCAACCGCGACACCAATTTCTTTAACTCACGCATAGTTTCCTGCAATTCCTCAATGCGTTCATCTTTATTGTCCCAGATCTGAATAAAGTCAAGGAGGTGTCCTTCCCACAAATACTCATTCTTTTAATAGTCAGACTGACAACGCTTTAGTACCAATCGCAAGGCTTGAAATTCGACATCATACATGGATCACATCAGCTCTCTCAGTTGGTTCTCCTTTTCTTCCCGATCCTGATTCCTAACACACAGAGGATCCAAGAGAAAGGAGATGATCCGGTGCAGAGACCCCTCTGCATCAAGGCTGTGGTCAAGAATTTTCACGTTTATCAGGTCGTCTGCAACCGCACCTGCGGTCCCCGAACCCTCCTTGATGGCGGTTCCCTCACCAAGAGGCGACGTACCACCATCCCCTAAACCATCTACTGGAATAGGAGGATCAATAGGCGCCACATCAGGAACGAATGGACCATCATTTTCCCCCACATGAGGAAACACCCCCTCGGAACGAGTGGCTTCCTACACAATCAGGGGGACAATTCAGTCGAATTTCTCCTCTTCCACCCACAAGGAAAACAAAGGCAAGAAAGAATAAAACAACTGCAAACTATGGCATGGATGAAGTGTGAAAGAGGAAAACAACGACAACAAAAAACAAGTTCTGCAATCCCTGGAAGTACTTTATTACAAAACATCCACTGGCGCCGACTACACCAGTCGGAAACCGCCAAGACCAACATCCAACAAAACACACCGAAGAAAGCACTAGTCTATACTTCACCACCATCTTTGGGATGCGAGGTGCCACCCTACAAAAGGGGTGGGTTGTCTTCACCATCATTGCTCGTAGCGCCTGCACCTTCACCCTGGTCTTCTATTGCTCCAAGCTTTCCACTAAGCGATCCACTATTGGAGGATGAGCTCTCCTCGTCTGAAGCATCGCTGGGCGACATGGGGGGAGTTGGGACCCCAATGGGCATGTCAAACAAGGGAGAGTGATCGCACTCCAGGTCCTAATGCCCTGCGGCGATAGGGAGGGCGTACACATCGACGTCGCGAATATAGGCGCATGCGTCTTTGGCCACTTTCGCCATCATATGCTTCTTGGAGGAATAATCCTTCCAAAATGGGGCTAACCTCTCCCGGACAAAGATAGAACCTTCACTATCCGAATTGTAGTGCTTGCGAACCTGTTTCAGAATATCATGGGCCCCAACATCGCCAGCAGCTCAAAAAACATTCCCCACTCCCACCACAAACTTGTGCGACCCCGCTATCTTTCTTGCCCCAGCAGAGATGAGATCCCCCAGCATCACCCTAGGAATAGAAGCTTTGGCCAGGTCATCACGACTTACATTCGCAGCATCCAGGCTGGTCTTCAACTGAGTAACCTCACCCTAGAGCGCTGCAATAGTGCTAGCCTGAGCGCTATCCTTGTCTTCCAATTCCTTCTTTAGCGCTGCAATCTCAGCATGGACTGTAGACCTCTCCATCGTTCATCTCGACGGTACACATTGCCCACTGAGCTAATCCAGATATGCACTGTAAAGGAGGACAAAAAAGACTTAGAACCAACAACCGCATCGCCTCAACCAGAGGCACTAAAGACAATGAATACTTGAAACATGGCATCCGTTAGTTTAACAGGCCCAGGGATTGGCCCCAACTGAGAGTACACCACATTAGGTGGGTCAAGCTCCACCACAGCCGCGTTTCAAACCTCACCATACGCTTCAGATGCACCGGCAACGCACAATTGGAACCCAACGATGCCAGCCACAACGGAGGACACACCATTCTGAGCTCCAGTAGTAGGGACCGTTGTGTCCGGCGCAACAAGAGGGAGGCCACCAGAGTGTGTGAGGTCGCACTCCCAGACTTGGTTCTTTTGTTGCCCCCCGCATGTGACTGGCTTGGTGTTGGCCCGGTCTGGCTTCCATCACCTCTTTGTTTCCTCTTCCTCAAGGCCACGGTCTCACCAATGTTATCTGCGGTCGCCATTGCAGATTTGGGATTCAGATTCTTCTTACCCATTATAAAAAGCTCTAACCTACAAAGGAGAAGAACAAGAGGCTAGGAGTCAGTATTAATTTATGGAATACCTGCAGCATTGTCATAGATAAATGTGTGTTTTGGCGAGCATCAAAAGGCTTGCCTATCATTGTCAGTCTAGGCATCGATTACCAGGCTGGAATTAGAATCATCATACCACTACGGGACCGCAATGGTACCAGAATTAACAAAGAAAAAGTATTCCTTCCACTTCTCCCCTTTCATAGTCCCACGCTTCTCCACCGCAATCAGCATGTACGATCCCATCACTAGGTTATGCTAAAAAGCTAAACCACCCAGTGTAGTTCTGATGCGATCGCGACATCTTGAAAAAGCAACAAAATTAAAATACATCTGCTTTCATCCCCACTGTATGACAAATATGCAAAAAAACCCAAAATGAAGGGGATCGCATTAGGCGACCACTGGGCAAGGGGTATCTCATAGGCCCACATCAAGGCCGCCACAAAGGGAAGAAGGGGCAGCTTCAGCCCTTGCTCCAGGAATCAGAGGTATATTGTCATCTTCCTGGGCAGCGGCAGATGGGCTTGGTCGCCACGACCAGGCACAGGTACCTTCATCACCTTCAAGCCATATTCCTTCCTGATGACCTTCAAATCGTCCTCGGTCAATTTGGAGGTGATGGCAGTGACCGGAATTAATTTCTTCACACGGGGAGCCATGGCCAAAGAAGCAATAGGACAAACACCACGAAAATGAAAAGAAAAAGGGGGGAGGAGAAGGAATCGGTAGCAATAATCGCCGGAATAAATTTCTAGCAGCAATGAGGACTGAATTCGCACAAAATGGAGCGCAAATCCTACTCTAGTTCCCTTAAAGGAGGGGAAAGAGAGGAGAGATAAGGGGGCGGGCTTCGAAAAGACGTGCCTCATTAAGAGGCGCACGTCAATTCAAACCGTCATTCGAGGTCCATCGTGACCGTTCGCGACAATTAGGCGGGAACTCACCCCAGCCGTCCGATGATGGGGTATCCCTCCGCCCACCCTGGAGTTTTGGCAGAACGGGCCACGTCCACAGAGGCCCATGTCGTAGAAACTCGATTACTAGAGCCCAAATCCTGACAAACTCTCGGGCTTTAGTCTCTAGTAGCGGCAATTGATGGAGGTCCATTGCCTTATTAGACCTCAGCAACCTTAATCCAAGGGCTACAAGAGACCCATCCATAGCCACGTGCACCCATGTGCACCCATGTGCTAAAGGAATATGGAATATTCCTTATTTGGTCTATATAAGGAAGTATCCCCAAGCATTTTGAAAGAGGTTCTTTCTCTATCTAGTTTTAGCATTTAATACTTTTTCTTTTTCTCTCTCAGGGTTCTGACTTAAGCACTGGAGTGCTAACCCTATTTTGCAGGGCTTTTAGGTAATTTAGGCGCTGTCTATGGACCAACCAAGGACTGCACCATCAGGGTAGCATGAATTTTAGCTGAATTTGGTTTGATTACCTCCCAACGCAATTAAAGAAAAAAAAAAAGGGAAGAAGAAGAATGAACTCGATTCAGAATTAAGATGATTTTATCCCAATTGAATTGGATAATATTCGTGAGACTTGAACTGTGATTAGCGTAATATTTGCAGACTTAGAGGCGCTTCTTTGAGTGTTCATTTACTACTTCACAATCATAGAATGGTGTATAATCTCCACATCTTATAACCTTGAAGAGCTTTACGTATATGATCATCATTTTTGTTCAATGAGAAACAAAACGAGCATAAGTTTTGATATCATTGTGTTGCTTGAGATATCAACACTCTCCGTGTCTCAAATATAAATGTCAGGATTAATTCACTTTAACAAGACCAACAAAACAAAGACTTTTCTTTTAACATAGATGGAGTGATACACATGTTGCGGCCTTAAAGTTTTTTACTTTGTTGTGATCATGCATCGATTATTTCCCCATCTTTTTATTGGATTTTTCTTGTCTTTCTTCTTGTTAATGCTGAACTAGAAGAAAAAAGTTAAAAGTTTCGATCAATGATGATTAAATTTTGTCATCCAGTCCTCCTCTTTTCAATCACGTTTTATATTTGCAAGTAAAGACACCATAATCAGCGGATAAACCAATCTAACGAACCCCCATTTAATCAACACAAAAAGGAAGCTGAAAGTCCAAAAAATGACTTGCTTCACTCCGAATTCCGTTACTATAACACTTATCTTAATCATCAGGTTATGGTGTGGCTTTGTTAACAGTACACCAAACACGACGATTGATAAAGAAGTATGCAGTGGCGGAACGTACTTGGCCGGCGATCCTTACACAAACAGTGTAGCTTATGTTCTCGACGAAGTAATGATAAACACACCATATTCACCGGGATACCAGTACGGTGTTTTTTCTCCTTTCCTTAATTCTCCGGCACTCGGTTTCGGAGGTTGCGCTCAGTTCTTGTCTCCTTTGGAATGCTCTTCTTGCATGGTTGCTGCATTCAATGAAGTCTTGAAACGTTGTTGTGGTTACGTTTCGGGTGCAGTTATCCTCACGGATTGTTCGATTGGATACAAGGATATAGAACCAGACCTATGAATATTGTGAAAATTGATCAATGTGTGAGGTGACATTAACAATGACGGAACGGTTTAATTCATTCCGAGATTCGAAAAACTCTATACTTCTCTCCCATCGTCGTACCGAACCCTTAATTACCATGTTTTATAGGGGTTCGTTTTATGCCATATTGTGATTCTATAATTAGTTATATGGTCGTCGTTTGCTTTGGTTCTTACTGAAAAAGTGGTTTCTTGTGTTTTCGAAATAATTGTTTAATTAGTGTGGTTGCTTTTACCAAAAATAAACATGTTAAAATCAAAAGAAAATCATTCAATACCACACAATTAAAAGATATGAAAGTATGTTCAACTAATTTTTTCGCTTTACATTTGCTGGTCTTCACAAATTGTGTACACTCGACCTCGTAGTAATTTTTTTGCAATCATAATCATGCATTCCACCCAGTTACATTAATTATAATCTTAAACTTATACTTCTATTCATTGCTAATTCGAATCTTTTCTCGTGATCTTCTTTCAAATTTCTTGGAATGCAACCTGTATATGTGCTTGCTACATTCATCACCATTGAAGTTAAGTTGACAGCATGTATATGTGAGATTTCCTTAATCGTAATGAAAATTTGAAAGCTTCTGAGTGCAATGACAGTAACAAAACAAAGTTTTTTCTCTCTCTTAGTCACCCTAAGTTGAGAATTTTTTTTTTTTAAAAAAAACACAATTTTATTAATAATAAAGAAAAAATAGGGCAGCGAATATACTAAACCCTATATCAAATACTCCCTCCGTCCCATAATTATTGTCCACTTTGCCCAAAAAATTTTGTCCCAAAATTATTGTCCAATTTGACTTTTTATGGATCAAGTTACACATTTGTCCTTAGTAAAAAACATTATCCATAAAATCTTAGTAGTTAAACAATTCCTATGTAGGGGTATATCCGGTTGTTTAAAGTAAACTATAGTTAAGTTTGACCAAAAATAAAATCTTTCATTTTAATAAAACTGGACAATAATTATGGGATGGAGTGAGTACAAGTTTGATTTTAAAGTAAAGTTGAATCATTGTTCAATCTAGCAGAGCGACGAACTTGAACTTTCTTTTTAACCTTAGCCTTTTTCGATCGATTGTGATATGTTGGAGCAGAAACATCACTGTAAAATGACTCTTGTTCCATTGCATATTCCATATCGAAGTCTTCATCTTCAGAAGCATGATTTAGTCCACCTTCGGAATTTTTTTCTTCAATCGAATAACTTGACTTAAAAGTCTCAGTGTTCTTCCCTATTTTCATATCATCCTTGGACAAGTACGATTTTGGAGCCGTAATTGGCAGTAAAACCTGTAGAAGAGTCTGAGGAGAGATGGTAAATTCTGGAGCTTTCGGATTTAACTTTTTAACGGGGATGTTAAAAGAGTTATTCGAGGAAGAGATTCCTTCCTTATTTGAGGAGAAGAGTCGGATGCAAAATTTGAGGGAGAAGAGTTATTTGATGTTGACTTTTCCTCACTTAAATTTTGAAGAGTCGGATGCACAATTGGCGCTGAGATCGCGAGAGGTTGCTGACCTTGTTCCGCACTTGAAGAAGGAAAGGACTGCGTCAGTTTCGGATTCAGTTTGGCTAGAGATTCCGCACATCTTGTAAAAGAAAACCTTTTCTATCAAGATGCACAAGCAATTCAACAAACTCCCTAGTTCGAAAGAATCTATTAGGAACACCAAAAGTGAAAGTGGTTAAACTAATGAAACAACAACAAGCGAGCAAAAACAACAAGAACAAAACAAATTAGTGAAAACTCTATTCGATGTGAAGAGGTAAAAATCACGAGAATCTTTTGTCTACAAAATCCATTAAATTAAATCAAAGGTATGAGTACATAATCCCGACGATATACAAGTGATATCTAACCTTTAACAACACTATAAAGGCACTATAATTACAATACAACGATAATATATGCCATGCTAAAACCAGCAGTAGATTCAAAAATTCATGTCTATTAAAAATAGAAGTCAAAATCTAAAACCTTCCTGTCAGAATAAAGGCTGATGAGTATTCTTGAACAATCACACTCTGTTTGCCCCTACAATCACAATGACATGTGAAATTGCTACAGTAGAAAACCTTATGGAAATCATTTTTAAAAAAAATACTGGGGAGGCAATAACTGCCTAAGCTTATGGAAATCCTTTGCTCCTTACTATCTTTGGCGCTCAAAAAAAGCGGCACAAACTCGTGACTGCACAAACACATTTGCTGCTTACTCATGGCCTGTTAAGTTGTCAAATGAGCAAGAAATCTTAGCATATGTCGGATAACAATTCATTAATGTTTTGGGCTTTTGTCCATTAAAGAAGGGAGCCTAGCCCAACATATATGCTCGTATGTTTTTGTCACGATCCGGACCAGGATTGGGATTTAAAACGGAATTTAGGACCAAGAATTGAATAGAAGATACAGGAACTTGAAGAAATAGGTCAAGAATTAGAAGAAATAGAAAGGGAGTTAGGGTTTCAGAGAGAGAAAGGAGAGTGGGATATTTCTCGATTCTGTATTTTCATCAAATGACGAAAGGTGACGTTTACAGACTCTAGCAAGACTTATATATAGTGTGACTTACTCTCACACAATTACAATTCAATCTTTACTTTTTATTATATTCAATTGCTCCCCTAGTACGTGACACACTACCTCCCTTAGACGAGTCTTGTCCTCAAGACCCTTATTTAACAATCATAGAACTAAAGCAGTGAACAATTACATCTGAATCAAAAGAACACTTCGGTAATGGAAACACAGTTAACCACAGTAATATAAGAGCACGATTACTAAGTACCAAGCACTACAAAGCCCAGAAATGAAACAATGCTAGCAACAACAGTAGTAGACCAACTGCAGCTTCAGAGACTAAGCAGTAACACTGAAGAAACATAATAGCCACCCTTTGATACTTGCCAAGGACATACAAGTGTTCAACTCCCCGTGCGATCACCTATAGTTAGGTCACTCACATCAATAGCTTCCCCATTAATTGTCCACAAAATACTACCCGAGGGATCTTCTTTATCAGCATCCAAACAATGCATGATGTTACACTCTCTCAGCTTGCAATGCTGGTTATGGCCATACTTGTACAGTTCACCACAACGATAACATAATCCATGATTGGTTCTATATTGAATTTCTTGAGGCACCAACTTCTTAACATAACGATTTCCAGGACCCTTATGACCAGTAGATCTAACATTGCTACTAACAGCATCATTTCCATTCGGATCAACATTTCCTTATCCAACTGATTACCACTAGCAGCCTTATTACCACAATTCTGATAAAAACCATAACTACCAGCAACAGATGTATTCTTAGAGTTCTTAGACTTAATATAATAGGCTGTAAAACATTACTAGTAGATAGGTCATAAGATACCTGTCCTGTATCATTTCATCCAACCTTGAGAAGCAATGTCAAGCTCTGCTCCTAATGAATGGCAATGTCAAAAGCAACAGCTACTGATTTCGGGTGCCACATCCTGACAGCCGGTTTCAGTACCTCCTTAAGACCACTAATAAAGGAGGAAATGAAATAGTTTTCACTCAGTTTGCAATTTTGGCTCAATAACCTGAAACGCAAACTCTCGAACTGCTCCTGATATTCTGACAGCGTCCCTGTTTGCACAAGCTTACTGAACTCTTCGATGTAATCTTGACCCCCTTTGTTGCCAAATCTCTGAATTAGGGCCTCTGAAAATGTTTCCCAGGACAACTTGCCTACAGTCAATTTGATTCCCTGGTACCATGTATCAATCCTTTCATCCAAGAACACGTCAATTGAATCCACTTTGGCTTCATCTGGAATTTGATGAATCAGAAAATATTTGCGGCATTTCCTCAACCAGTCTTGAGGGTTGGTTCCGGTAAATTCCAGCAAATCAATCCTCGGCTATTGAATCCAAACATGCCCTTGATAACCTCCCTGGAAGGTATGACCTGGTTGACCCGACTGAGATAATCTGTCGGCGCGTGGATCGACATCCTTGGTGGCAAACACTAGATTCTGTTGTAGGCAGAAACATCTTTTCCACCACTGAATTGACTTGTAATCTTTCCGTATCTGGTGAATCAAAATCGGCTGCTGACTAACCGGAGGAAGAGGAGGAATCGTAATGATTTCAGGTGCCTTTTCCGAATTCTTGAATTGTTGCACTTCTATCCACTCCAACTTCTTCATCAAGAGATCGAATTTTGATTATTGCTCCGAAACCATTTGATCGATCTTCGAATCCAGACCTGTCAATCGCTTCTCTAGGGTTTCAATGTGAACAGCGTTGCAATCGATCTGAGACTCTTGTTCCTTCATAGCCTTTTCAGTCAGAGCTCTTGATCTCATCATCTTCATTAACCTGAAAACAACAAATCAAAAGAGAGAAATGAATTCGTAGGAAATGGAGTTTTTCGTAGCGGAAGACTTGAATAAATCGCAAAAATTTTGCCAAGAACCGATAGCTCTGAGGCCAATTGTAACAATCCGAACTATGATTGGTATTTAAAACGGAATCTAGGACCAAGAATTGAATAGGAGATGCAGGAATTAGAAGAAATAGATCCAGAATTAGAAGAAATAGAAAGGGCTTAGGGTTTCAGAGAGAGAAAGGAGAGAGAAAGGGATATTTCTCGATCTGTATTTTCATCAATGACAAAACGTTTACAAACTCTAACCAGACTTATATATAGTCTGACATACTTTCACACAATTACAATTCAATCCTATACTTTCAATTATATTCAATCACTCCCCCAGTACATGACAGTTTTTAAGGCTTTGATTTCCCAATTTCGCCATGAAAATTACCAGAAGCCCGACATTTCCTCTAGAACTCACAAGCATCATATTGATTCAGCTTTCCAATCAAAGGTAATCCTCGATTTTTATTTATTTTTTTCCTTTTTGGGTTTCTGGGTAGCTAGAGATAAATCATTTCGGGTTCTTGGCTAAAATTGGAAGTACAGGGATCA